AGAGATTGTGAACCCTGGTGTGTTCATTTCTTCAAGTATCTAATGGGACACTGGCCTTCTATGGGGGAAAAGGAGTTTTTTTATTTGGAAGAAATAAATATCGTTTGATTCAGCTGGCATCCTGCTCTTCACTGTCATCAAATCCCTGTGTTGTGGATTACATGCTGAAAAGTTAGAGCAGACTTTCACTGCTCTTTCCTTGTGAGTTTTATTCCATTTTTCTTGGCTGTTTTTATGTTATTTAAAACAGTATTATGCTATGTGCTTTCTCTCTTTTTTATGTACCATACCATATGTATTTTACTTTGAGACATATTTCCCTACTGTAAGTGACCATTTGTATATTTTTTATCACTCTTCACTTGCAAGTTTTGCACATTTATTATTTTGAGTGTGATTTTATTGAATATACACTTTTCATTGCACGATTTTTTTTGCACTTGTTGCACTTTAAATTTTAAAGGTACAGCGCACCTTTTTTGTTTTATGTACTTGGGGAACACCTGTGGAAAAGATAAATTTGCTACATAACAGAGATTTACCTGCAAATGAGTTTTTGTGTTGCCTCCCATTATAGTCTATGGGCATTCTCTTTAGTCATTCACCATTGTTATTCTATAGAAAACAATGATAATCCCACTTAATTTCAATTTCAAAAATTGACACTGAATCTGGAGAATATTGTGGCAAAATATGGATTTCATATGTGTAATAGTTTTGTCTCTAATTGAAATATTTTGTTTCCGTTATTCTCTATGGGCATTCCTTTCACTTCCATTATTCTCTATGGGCATTCCACTGCCTTGTCAAAGTCTTTGGGCATTCCAATCTGTCATTCCTTTTAGTATGTCCCCCAGAAAAGTGCTGCCCTGCAATGTGCAGAATTCACACCATGCAGGAAGGGAATCCAATAATTTATACATGTCAAAATAAACATGGAGGATCTGGCAATTCTATGTGGAAATCTTTTCAAAATGGTAAAAGTATGTGACTTGAGGGATGCTCTATTATATTACATATTAAAAATATATAAAAACTGTTTACCTCCATTGTGGGAATACACGTGCGAGACAATAGCGACATGGGAGCAAACGTACGCTCGTATATTATTCTTAGTCGTTCTTTTTTCCCCCCCCTTTTTTTGTATGTTTGCGTTTGCAAACACGTGTGCGGTCGTCATTTATCATATGTTATCTGTTACGTGTTTTATCTACTATTTAAAGCCAGACGGGATATCTAACCACACATAGAGATGAGAACTTCCTTGAAAATTAAAGATGTAAACTCAGTTAGAGGTCTCTAGTTATGGGATTTGTGTGACCTTGACTGTTCACCCATCATACGAATGTAACAATGCCATGATCACAGTGTACATGCTTGTTTATGCATAACCTTATGTTGCTGTATATGCACTGCTTGTGATGTCTCGTCTTGGAATAAATAAATAATTTAAAAAAAACAAAAATAAAAAAACTTTATCTCAACTCTTTACTCTTCAAATGAGAATACATTTTAAATGCACAATGTCTGTGTGATTGGTAAAATGACACAGCATGGGCAAAATAAATGAAAATAAATATAAAGGAGTGTTCTCCTATTGATCCTTCCATTTATTTTGTGCATGCTGACTTTCATCATTCACATTCATGGAAAGCAGATAAATGTTAGATATCCCACGTGTTATATTGTCTTACATTAAATGCACAAGGAATGGGCTCTTACCTGACTTCCTGGACCACGTTCTGCTCCTGCAACACGTGGATTCCCAGACGGAAGCAAGCGAACGCAGAGCGCTACTGTCCGCAGCCCGCACGGATAGCCTCCGATCGTTCAACCCGCGATCGATTGCTTGGGTCTGACTGCCTGGCGCTCTATGGTTGGCAAGAGAGTCCGACTCGCGCGGCATGCTGGGATCGTGGAGGTTAAGCACTCATTGCAAAGAAACAGGGGCAGTTTGGCTGTTTCAGGCAACCAGCTTCTGTGGCTTGTAATTAAGAGTCTCTCAGTTCTGCAGAAATGTGTTGTTATTGTGTTTCCATATTGAATAAAAACAAAATGATAAACTGCATTATCTTGTATAAAGGGACACTTTAGCCACCATAACCACTACAGCTTAGTGCAGGGGAGCCTGAAAAGAACCATGGGATATGTAGTTCAAAAACATCTGGAATTACCTTTGGCCAGCTCTCTTACTATTGTCATACCTCCCAAGTGTCCCTATTTAGGAGGGACAGTCCCTATTTTTGTACAAATTCCT